ATTAAGGGGGAAAGTTGACATTTACATTTTAACAAAAATTAAAAAAACTGACTTACATCATTGTCGTTCAAATTGAGAATTTTAGGCAGATACTTACCAAAAAATTCATTTCTATTTTCTAGTATAAAATCAACCTGAAGTTATTAATTTGCATGCATAACCTATATGATGAATTCATACACAAAACAGAGTTATCCCTGAAAATATGTATAACTTATTATTAATCTAATCAAGGTAAAATTAACCTGAAATCAAGGGGCATATAAATTGAAGTAACTGAAAAAATCTATTCAAGAACAACATACAAATAGGTTCTCCAACCTTGATCACATCATTGAAGCAACCTCTAGTTTCATCACAAAAAATAAAAATAAAATAAAATAAAAAAAACTGCAACACTTTTACATGTTTGGGGAAAATAAATCTAGCACAATTTCACTGAGGTGACGTGATTATGATACAACGTTCAGTTACAGACTTATAGCAGAAAATCTGCAACTACTCAATATATGGCTCATGAATGATTAAATCAATTAAAGTCACACAGGAGAAAAAAAAATTAAGTAATAAAATGATAAAAAAAAATATCTTTCTTCTTCAAAGAGAAAGAATTGAGAAGTGTACTGAATTGTGCAGATAGACAGCTCAAAACATGGTAAATTGAATAAAAAAAAGAGCATAAAAGAAGCTAAAAAAATCTCATGCATGATAATCAAGAAGCCATAGTAGCCAACTAACCAAAGACGAAACAATTAGTATATTTTACATATATCGAATCCTGAAAGTATTCCATAGGATCATCTAAGAAGAATAAAACAAAAGCCTTTTCCAAGTAGTTGGTATTTGCTACATGGACCAAACCATGCTATCAAGCAATGTCAAGAACCCAGCTTTTACAAAGGCTATTCTCTAATGGTTTAACTTAAATTTTCCTCAGTAATCACAACAAAACATGTTCAGGTATCAAAGCCAAAGCAAGAAATTTAAAAATGTAAGAATTATTTATACAAAATCATAAACCCAACCATGGTAGTAAGTATCGGACGAATCGCGACTCGTATCGTACGATACGATTCCGTGGTTCCGCAATTTGAATCGCAGGTCATATCGTTTTTGATTATGAATCGTGTTCGAATCGTGTGTATCGTGTTGCGAATCGGAAAATCGCGATTCAAGAAGAAATCGCACGATTATGGAAGAAGCGGGTCGCATCCGAAACTAGGTCGGGTCATGCGCGACCCAGTTCTGAAAACCCTAAAAAAATGATTATTTTTTTTTAAAACGAAAGTGAGACGGAAATAGCCGATATTACTCCCTGTACATGACCCACTTAGTGGGTTTCACTTTTTGTGGTCCATTTGCTTCGTCCAAGTTCTCTAATGAGGGAATACTAAATCACATAAATGGGTTGTGTGAGTTTTTAATCATTTTTTTAGTGAGATGTGAGTGGATTGGTTAGGACTTGATTTTTTTTTTAGACTCGTGACCAATTCGGCTCACCACTTATTTAATTTAAGATGAGTTGAGTTTAATATTTACCGTCATCAAAATTTATAATTTTTTTAGTCTAATCCAACTTAAAACCATAGTAAGTCAGGTTAACTAAAAATATAAATTTGGCAATCCTTGAAGATTTGGTGTTGGTGGCATCTTCAAGAATCACTAGTATGTGGATCGATGGTTTCTTGGGTTGTATCGGCTACTCCAACAACACGTATGCTAAGCTTATCACAATTTACAAGAGTCTTTAAGCTGTGATATGAATTTCACAGTGTGATTTGTTAGTATTTAAATGTTTGTGTTACATTTGTTCCACCCTGCAAATGTTAATTTTCATACGTATAATGTCCTGGTCTTTTTCATTAACTAGCTCCTCCAAAAGGATTGGATAGTGAGCCTATCCAAGGCATACTTTATGGGAAGGAAACGTTTATACAAACCTTATCATCAAGATTGAATTAACCCAAGATCAAATATTCTGTTTCAATGATTCCATTGTGGAATTAGTTTGGCGCTTCATGTCGATGCTCGGGGAAATGACGTTTCTCGCTTGTAATTTTGCGTTTCACGTTTTTAAGTGTTTTTTTTTAATAAGAACGTTTTTTTTTTTTAAATTTTGCGTAACATTCAAATAAAGCATAAAATATATGTATATAAACAACAATGTTATAATATATATAAGATATTAAATTATTTATAATTTTATTTGTTAATATTTCTTTTAATTGACCTGCTAACCAATCTAATAACTAACAAGTAGTTACAAAAAGGGTTTTAACTCGCGAGCTGGCCTGTTAACCCGCCAAAAATTAGTGAGCTAGGCCTATTATGTCAACTCGCCAAACCTGTCTTGCCAAACCTGCCAACTCGTCGGGCCAAATAGCGGGTTGACCTGTCACAACCGGCCAACCTGCACGAGGATGAAGATGATCAAGACGAAAAAATAGAGACAACCACTTCCAAGGGAGCTTCTAATATTCTTGAAATAGAAAGTCAAAGTTAATTAATTGTGTTTGGACTTGTTTTGTAGACTATCAAAAAATTTAGATTATTAGTAGTTTGTAAATTTATAATTTAGTTTTGATTTTAGTGTAAGTGAACTAATTTCTATTTGATTTTGTTATAAGTTTGTAATTTGCTTTTGTTGAACATATATTATGTATAATATGTTTACATTTTTAATTTCATATGGTTATATTTATTTATTTGTAGTAATTTTTTTATTTAAACGTAAAAAATAAATTTCCCATTTTTTTAATAACTTTTTTTATGTATAATATGTTTACATTTTTAATTTCATATGGTTATATTTATTTATTTGTAGTAATTTTTTTATTTAAACGTAAAAAATAAATTTCCCATTTTTTTAATAACTTTTTTTTTGTATGTGGGTTGGCAATTAATAATAACTACATTTGTAAACTAAATACACTTTTTTGTAGCTCTTTGGTGGGAGAGTTACAGTGGAAGAGGTAAAGAGTTACAAAAAGTGGCCATGAGAATTTTGAGTCTTACATATAGTGTCACTGGATGTGAGAGAAATTGGAGTACATTTGACCAAGTGCATACTAAGAGAAGAAATCGATTGGAGCAACAAAGATTAAATGCACTTGTATATGTCAAATATAATCTTCAACTTGAGATGAGGCAAAATAGTAGAGAAGAGAATGGAGATACCTATGATCCCATATGTTTGTCAGATATTGAATCCGATGATGAGTGGATCACCGAAAAGGAGAATCCTTGCTTGCCTATTGATGCCTCATGGATGGATGTACATGAGTGCTTTGGTGTTGATGAGGGAGCTCCAAAGAAGAAAAGAAAGAGAGGTAATTATTTATATTTTAAAGTTAGTTTAGAACTTGGAAGTTGGAATTAGAACTAGACCTTATTATTTTCTTTTGATTACATAGGTCCAAGAAACTTGAATGCCAAGATTGGTAAGGGAAAATCAATAATAGAAGATGAGGATGAAATTGAAGATAATGAAGAAGAAGAACTTTTGATATTAGAAGATGAAGATGACTTGAGTGATGTAGATCTTGGGGTTGGAGATGATGAATGATCTTGGATAGGGGCATTTTGTATTTATTTTTTGAGGCTGTATGACTGAATTTGTGTGGCAGTAGCGCCACTTGTTGCTGAGTTTATGCAGCAACAACACTAATATTTTTTTTGGGTGGCTATATTGCTGATTAGAGTAGCAAACAGACCCTGGTATACGCATATATTTAGCAACAACAATGATTTTTTTGGAGGTTTTGTTGTTGAACTGTGCAGTCATTTCTTTTGGCTTTGAGACTGTTATTATTTGTATAATTGTATCTTTGTATTTTGAAGCTTATATATTACTATATATTTATGTATGACTTCATTTTGTCTGTTTCTTTATATTAAAATGTGCTTAGAGTGCTTTTATATGTCTTGTATGCATATATATACACTATGTTTTTACTGATCATAAATCTTACGATTCACGATATGATTCGATTCACGATTCAAAAAATAAGCTTTCCGATACATTATTTGTATCTCGATTCAACTACCATGAACCCAACTATTTACAATAAAATCCATGTGAATTCTTGGTTTTCAACTTTTCATCCCTACTTTTGTAAAAATTGGTTGGGCCAAGAAAATCTAGAACCAGTTTTTGCCAGTGTAATTAGTCTAGAGCATGCATCTGATTAACCTCACATTAAGTATAAGTATATAGACATAGCATCTCTAACCATGGACTGTCCTTATTCTTTAAAGCTATTATTTCAACAGAGACATAGACCAGGCAATTTGTCACCACATGTAAAACAACATATCTATCATTGGTATTACAACTCCCTTTATACCTTTTAAACCCCAAAAAAATGATTATAATTCTATGACCTTATTCTAAATCCATTTCTCTCCAAAAGAATACAACTCAGCAGCCTATTAGAGTTGAGACAACATATCTAGGTAAGCCACCCAAAATTTTGAAGCGCTTTGTTTTATGGCACTGACAAGATCAAGGAGATTCAAAAATATATGTGGTCAATCTCTACCAAGACTAAATTTTTTGCTTCAATACCTAAGATGCCAAGTTACACCATACACCCATCAAAAGGACTAAAAACTTGAATACTGATGACTACTTATTCAATACTAATAACAGGCTAAAATTTTGAAGAACCCACGCTCCTACAAAAAAAGCAAAAAAGAAAATCCATAACAAAATCATATATATTATGAAAGATTGGTTGCATTAGTACAAATCAACACTTCGAAGATAGCTTTGAAGTAAATGATACCTCAACACTTTTAACATGAAAGTACAAATCAAATTCACTTCAAAAATTAAATTCCCATGGCTTACTAATACTATCAAAACAATAAATAAAATTGCCAAGGTCAGGCAGTAGAATGACACAAATTAGGTGAAGTTTGTGGCTTTGTGCAAAGATGGATGTGCATAGAGCAAGTGACGCATATACACTACTAATAATCATAATATCCTCCCCTCTTCATTAGTAATATCATAAGTTCTCTGCTCAATCCTCTTGGAACTTAACTTTTGGCAGTACTACCACAACAGTCCCAAAATCTAAGGTTTGGATATAAAGCAGAAAAACCTAACATGAATTGTAAACATGTACAACAGATAAACTTAACATTTAATGAGACGTGCACCTATGGATAGTTATAAATCACATGAACCAACTTCCATCAACAATGAGTGCACAACCCCTAACTAATCATTGTGGGCCAAACAGATACTGTAATATATGCCCCCAATTATTTTTAATTGCACCCATACCCAACCAAACAAAATCTGTTATACTTTCATGGCCTATGTGATAGTTCGAAAGGGGCCACTTTAAATGTTTCTAGATAGTATTTTAAAATGAACTCAAAGAAAATTCGATTAAATCATTATTAAGAAGAAAGAGATGAAAAATTAAGGATACATAATTATTTTGAACAGCATTAAGCACTTGGTCTAGTGAAACATTTTAACATTCCACTTAGAAAATGAACTTTATCGATATACGTTTAACATTGTGCAAGAAACTGCAATTTGCATCACAAAATAATGCATGCCAAATTATGTGTACAATGTGAATATAGGAAAAGTATATTAACCTTTTTTAATAAGTCCAGTTCATCTGTAGCCTTCTTTACATATCCCGGTGGCGGAAATGGAAAACAGCGCGACATTGCACAAAATCCAGATACGCCTAGTGTAAAATTCTTTTAAATTTGAGAGTGATTGAATTAGTTTCCAATAGCACTGTTCCAGAAAGGGAACAAACCAGCAACTATGCTCCTGTCCATGCACCATGTCACTGCTTTCATTTCCAGCTTTAATACTCCTCCATATGCCTCTTACTACAAACAAAGATAGTGGAAACCACCAAGGTTTACTACCCTTCACCAAAATATTCAAACAGCTAAAACTATACTACTGGAAATTGATGCAAATTCAAGGCACAGCAACCACTTGTTCTAACTACTTAATGTCAGCAAATGGATCAACACAACTCCAATCAGTGTATTTTAGCTACTAATGTTAGTCAATTCAAAGGGCTAAGAGGCAACAAAAAATCATCAGCTTCTTCTTCGTGTCAAATCCCCCAGCAAAGACCAAAAAAAACGCGAAAACTGAAGACCCGGAAGGCTTTGTACTGTGTCCAAACACGGTTCTCCAAATCAACCACTGATTCACTGTTATTAATATAGACAATCTTCTTCCATGCTCAAAAAAGCAATGTTAAACAGCATCTTAAGCAATCTCCAAGTGCAAATGCTCAACCAGCGTAGCTCTAAACCCACAACACGACCCCCAGAAAAGATCAGAGCTCATGCCCATTTCACGCAACCCCGGCGCAGAGAATGAACAAGCACAGTCTTCCTTTCAATCACACCCTCCGATCAAAACCCTAATCACTCGGGAATTTTCCAATTTCGACAAGTGCCCCAGTTACGATCCAATGAAACCCTAAAAACACACACAAACAAGCTGAGTACGCATACCCGGAAAATACCCACAAGGAAAGAAAACCCTAATCCCAATTCCAAAAACTTTTATCATTAAACACGTTAAAAAAAAGTGTATAAAGCAGCAAATTGAGCGGAATAAAGAGAATCAAACACTTTTTGGAACCTAAGCAATAAATGGGTATCGATCAAAAGCGGAAAAGAAGCTCTGATTCGAAGCGTTAAAAAAAAGTGAAAGATGAATTGGTGAAGGAGAGAGTCCAAGTGAAAAATAGTTGCATGAGATTACCAAGTCCGCTACAAAGTGAGCATTGTAGAAGGACAAGATCTCCCTCTCTCTCTCTCAAATGAAAAATCAAGAAAGAGAGAACAACAATCCTGAATATACACAAAACTATGTATACATATATGTATGTACATATAATAATATAATATAATATATGGTTTGGGGGGAAGTACTTTTTGTTTGTGTGTGTTGTGTTGTGTGGTATGGTATGCTAGAGCCGTTTTTGCTCTCTAGATTCTGGGTTTTGTTTTTCTTTGTTTACGCTCTGCTTCTCTTTCTTTTCCTTCTCTCTTCTGTGGTTATGGGTATTTGTTCGCGTTTCTCTGCTTGAGTTGTGTGTTGTCCCCTATATATATCTCATCATTATTGGTCATGTCATGTGTTTTTCATTTTTTTCTTTTTCATTTTTATTATTTCTCTCGGTCTGCTCCTTCTACTCTTGATTACCAGAGCGAAAGAATTTTATGTCTCTAATAATTATACATAAATAAAATATTAAAAAATTATATATAATTATTTAAAAATAATATATAAGATTTTTATATATTTAAAGAATATAATTTTCTATCAATAAGTACAGATTAAAAATAATTATATATTCATATATTTCATTTATATATTAGCATAGATGTTTAATGTATCTTCGGAAGTTGCACGCGAGGATCATAAATAATTGAAACCCCAAACCAAAAACAAACACCACATGTCGATCACACACCATGTATGCACAAGTGTGCTTCAACCTTTTTTTTTATTTGCAACAATAATATTCTTCATTACTTTTCAATAGTATAAATTGTTGAAATTATTTTTTTCTTATAGATAAAATGGTAGTAACATTTATTAACAAAAATGTTAGTAACATTTATTTTAACACTATTTTGCTAACAATTTTTTTATAATTAATTGAGAGTTGCAAATCTCTATAATTACTAATAATGATAAATAGAGATTTATTATTAAGTAAAATGAAGTATTAAAAAAGTGTTAAAAAAATATTAAGGAAAATGTTGTTAGTATCCGCCGTTTACAACGTTGTTTTCCAAGTGTATTTAACAAGTCGAGTAAGGTAGTGAGTAATCAGGTTATGACTTTATGAGATGTTAATTTTCTACTCTCGGTCAAAGATATATTAGGAACAAAATAAATTTCAACTAAGGAAACTTTTAATTTATTTAATTAGCTTGTACATTTGTTATATTAATGTTTATATTTTTATAATTTATTTCTCATTTTTTATTAACATTGACAGAAAATTTCGTTTCAAAAATTTGTCAGTTCAACTTGTATTTCATCCCATATTATAATTAGTATTTTAATATGTGTAGAGGACAAACATTTACTCTATATAGTTATAATTTATAATAAATAAATACTTTTGAATAATTAATTTATGTTAAAATTATAATTTATAATAAATAAATATTTTTAATATATAAATTATATTTTAAATATATAATAAAAAATTTATATCATAATTTAAGGTAGGTTTTAAGTATTGATGATAAAGATTAAAAAAATATTAAAATTTAATATATGATTAAATAAAAGATAAAATGTAAGAGATAAGAAGTTGATAAAAATCTATAAAAACATTCTTGTAAAAGAAAATTAATTAAAACATTTTTATTAAAAATAATAATAATCACAGCACACACTATCATTTAAGACAATTATTTTTATTTATATATAAAGATACAAAAGCTTAAAATTATAACCTCTTAAAATTTTGATAATCAACAGTATTTTGTTTTTAGTTGACAATCTATAAGTGAGTCAAAATCTTAATTCTTTCATATTTTTTTTAGTGGTAGAAAGTTTATATTAGAGCAAAACATTATTTTATGCCATGTTAAAGTCAACCACCAACCTTTTGAGTATTTTTAGTGGGATTGATTAAGGGACAAAACTTAAGTACAATTCCTTATCCATAGATGATGTTGTTCTCCATTCAAAATTCAAGTTTTATCTTGTTAATATGCACTTGAGTTTAATGGAGGCCTGTTAATATACACTTACTCATATTACTAAGGTACAACTTCAATTTTGATTAAAGAACAACATCAACTACATCCAAAGAATTATATCTAAGTTTTGTCCTTAATTAAGACTTTGATTTGCATGGGATGAATAATCAATTTTAATTTGGTTATTAGACAAATTATTTTAGTTATTAAAACAATTTTGCAATCCTAAAAGGGTATGAGGAATTCAACCATGAAGCATCATGTTAAGTGGTACATCCATAAAGTATCATTTTAAAGAATGAAGTTAAGTGATATATCTATGTACCATCACTTATAACTACTGGGTATATATTTTAATATTTTAATGGTTGAGGTGCATTGCCTATATATTATTTATTTTTTTGACATTTTTTCCTCATTAAAAGAAAAAAAAAATCAACTAAGACATTATCACCAAGGATGTCAACAGGATGGGATAGATATGGATAGTAGTCTCTCACTACTCGTTTTGCTAAATAAATATCTACCTCATACGTGTCCCCATTAGGGATGGTAACGGAGCGAAACGAGTACAGGTTTCTCTATCTTTGTCTCCATCCTCATTTTTGTACCATATATCCATCTCCATCCTCATGCTCAATTGGTCTGAAATTTATGTCATCACCCTCGTACTCATTGGATATGGTTATATTTGTACTTGTCTTGTACCTGTCTAAAAATTTATTAATTTTTTTACAAGAAAAAAATTTAAAAATAAGAATTTTAACATAAAATAACAATTACAAAATTTTATTAATTAAATTTTATTTGACATAAATTATAAATAAAGTAAGAATTACATAAAACATTAAGTAAATTTTAAAAAAAGAAAAGTTAAATATCTAAAAATTTAAAATAAGTATGGCTTACAGATACGGGTAGATGACAAATATGTATATATTTATCCCTATCTCAATACCTGAATTAATCAATTGAGTAATACCCGTACCCATACCCGTATATGGTCAAATCAAGTATTATTCATCAAAGTCGGGACATGATCGGACATTATCCACAGATACAGATTTTATTTGTCATCTCTAATCCTCATATTTGTTTAGGTATTAGTTTAGGAGATACATGTATATTTTTTAATATTCGAGGGTATCCATGATATTCATGGGTATTTATTTAAAAAAGAATAATTTATACACAATTTTTTAAAAAAATAATAGTTTAAAAATTAAAATTATTCAAATATTATATACAATTTTATCAATCAAAATTCTTCAATTTTAAAGTTAATTTTAATTGTTAAAGTATTTTATTATTATAAGTTAAAACAAATTTAATATGTAATTATATAATTAATTATTAACATGTAATTTAATGTATGAAATTATGATACTCATACCCACCTGTTAACATGCAGGTATAGGAAATACTCGTACTTGGTACCCGTGGATACCTATTTACAATATTCATTTTTTATCCATAACAAATTTTATCTACAGGTTGGCTAATAGGTAAATCAATTCAATCAAACTCATTTTCTAGTGAGCTTACAAAAAATAAATACAACCCAACCCACCATAAGCTGGTGAGTTAAATGGACTCTCACTTAATTTTTAAAAAATTGAATGTCTAAATAGTCGTACCTTTTTTTCTTCTTTATATTATAATGTGCAACCAAAAAGTCCAAAATTATTTAAAGAGTTTTTAAGTTACTAATAAATCCATACAAAGGTTAATTTAGATCAAAACAATGAGGGAATACTAAATCACATAAATGGGTTGTGTGAGTTTTTAATCATTTTTTTAGTGAGATGTGAGTGGATTGGTTAGGACTTGATTTTTTTTTTAGACTCGTGACCAATTCGGCTCACCACTTATTTAATTTAAGATGAGTTGAGTTTAATATTTACCGTCATCAAAATTTATAATTTTTTTAGTCTAATCCAACTTAAAACCATAGTAAGTCAGGTTAACTAAAAATATAAATTTGGCAATCCTTGAAGATTTGGTGTTGGTGGCATCTTCAAGAATCACTAGTATGTGGATCGATGGTTTCTTGGGTTGTATCGGCTACTCCAACAACACGTATGCTAAGCTTATCACAATTTACAAGAGTCTTTAAGCTGTGATATGAATTTCACAGTGTGATTTGTTAGTATTTAAATGTTTGTGTTACATTTGTTCCACCCTGCAAATGTTAATTTTCATACGTATAATGTCCTGGTCTTTTTCATTAACTAGCTCCTCCAAAAGGATTGGATAGTGAGCCTATCCAAGGCATACTTTATGGGAAGGAAACGTTTATACAAACCTTATCATCAAGATTGAATTAACCCAAGATCAAATATTCTGTTTCAATGATTCCATTGTGGAATTAGTTTGGCGCTTCATGTCGATGCTCGGGGAAATGACGTTTCTCGCTTGTAATTTTGCGTTTCACGTTTTTAAGTGTTTTTTTTTAATAAGAACGTTTTTTTTTTTTAAATTTTGCGTAACATTCAAATAAAGCATAAAATATATGTATATAAACAACAATGTTATAATATATATAAGATATTAAATTATTTATAATTTTATTTGTTAATATTTCTTTTAATTGACCTGCTAACCAATCTAATAACTAACAAGTAGTTACAAAAAGGGTTTTAACTCGCGAGCTGGCCTGTTAACCCGCCAAAAATTAGTGAGCTAGGCCTATTATGTCAACTCGCCAAACCTGTCTTGCCAAACCTGCCAACTCGTCGGGCCAAATAGCGGGTTGACCTGTCACAACCGGCCAACCTGCACGAGGATGAAGATGATCAAGACGAAAAAATAGAGACAACCACTTCCAAGGGAGCTTCTAATATTCTTGAAATAGAAAGTCAAAGTTAATTAATTGTGTTTGGACTTGTTTTGTAGACTATCAAAAAATTTAGATTATTAGTAGTTTGTAAATTTATAATTTAGTTTTGATTTTAGTGTAAGTGAACTAATTTCTATTTGATTTTGTTATAAGTTTGTAATTTGCTTTTGTTGAACATATATTATGTATAATATGTTTACATTTTTAATTTCATATGGTTATATTTATTTATTTGTAGTAATTTTTTTATTTAAACGTAAAAAATAAATTTCCCATTTTTTTAATAACTTTTTTTTTGTATGTGGGTTGGCCTGCTGACCTGTCAACTTGTCCTTAGGCGGGACGGACCAACATTCCCAACCTGTTTTTCATTGACAAGTTAGTTCAGTCAGACCCATTTTTGACGAACCGAACTAAAACAGGTCAAGCTGACTCGTTTTGTCACCCCTACTAACAAGAATCAAGGTGCTTTAGAACTGACATGAATTGGTTGAATTTCATCACCTATATTAATTTCTATT